GTCCCCTTCCCAGCCTTCACCCGTGCTTTGTTTAAACTTCTCGTACCATCATCACGCCATCGAGCAGCCCCAGCTCCGCCTTAGGCGCTGACTGCAGCCGCTCCATGGACCACTTCTCGATGATGGAGGACACGTGTGGGTTCTCCACGTTGAGGATCCGGAAGCCGGTCAGGTTCACTCCAGAGTAGCGGTATGGTTCTAGGTCTAATGCATAAAGATCCTTAAAAGAGAGAAACCGGTTTAAACATTTTGTTTAGTTTTGTTTTGTTTGTGTTTTCTGCATCGGTTCATATCTGTGCTTGAAGCGAGAAGGCAGAGCCCGCAGAAGGTGGGAGGCAGGATGATGCCCTCATGAATTTGGTGGATTGTACTGTCTGTTGCCACCCGTCACTGCCTGCAGAGACTCGTAGGCGTTAGTGGAATTCGGGTGTCAGATGTGCAGGTTCACCCACACACAGCAGAGGGAAACTCCTGCCAAAGAACTCCCTCTCTGCATAAAAGAGGCAAGTGAATTGTGGGGAGAAAACCAGAATCGCTGTCTGTAACCGTGAAAAAAGAGGCTTGTGACCAAGGGGGAGGGGACAGGGCAGAGTTCCTGTATCCGAAGCTCCCTGGGGCCCTTCCGTGGAGGATTTGCAGTGAGTGCTGAAGCCCGCAGGGTGCTGCAGATGACAGAGTAACTCTGAATGCAGAATGCCTATTTGCAGACAGCTATCAAAGAGGAACTAAGACGCATTTCTTGACATTACGACCAGCCTACACAGTCTGCAACCGAATGAGAGTGCCCTTTATGAGATTTAAAAAACCCAGAGCCAGGCAGCCCTCAGCTCTGCTGGCAGCCAGCCCACGAGCATCACTTGGCAGGCAGCGAGAGGGGCATTTGGAGGCCTCTGCCAGTGCACTTCTTTAATGCATCTCTTGGCTCCGCCGCACATCTAAATATTAACTTCAGTTCAGGGATTAACTTCAATGCTCAGTAACTGGTCTGAGCAGTTTGGGGTCAGACAGCATGGCAAGAGCACACCGCAGCGGATCTGCTCAGCAAAGTCCCAGCGCGGCCGACCCGAGGGGGATCATCAATGAACGTGGTGGAGAGCAGCCGTTGGGAGAGGGCTTCGTTAATCGGAATCATTTGTTGGATGGGACATATTTAATCCCAGTTTATCCTGAACGATGATTGTGAGTGTTCATTGGTAGGACAAATGTGGGGAGGCGGAAAGGCAACACCGCCGTCTTCTGTGACAGAGGGTGGGGGGTGAATATGGGAATGATGTTCATTGCTCTCCCAAGGGATTATAAAAAAGAGTTTAAATACAGCATGAAATTATATGGCTGTTGCTGTTTTGCACAACGGGGCTATACTGGTAGGACACAGCCACGCTGGGGGTTCACCCAGACACGGCGCCCGTCAGCAGCGAGCTCTGTGCTGCCCACGGGGGAGCTGGAAAAGCACTGGTCCTAAACACTGCCCCAAGCAAAGCATAACAAAATCAGCACTTGCCAGCAACTGAGACTTCATTCTCAGTGGGAGAGCCAGGAATTCTTACAGCTGTTTTGCTTTAATAAGCTTTGGGGGTTTGATCTTTTCTTTAAGCGCTGGCCTCTGACTTTGCACCCCCGAAGCACACGGCTGATGGATGCCATGGTTTAATCTGCAGGTGCAGCCAGGGACCGGGTCATTAATCACACCCACAACAGAGTTCAGGGTCTTTGTTGTTTTGAGTTTTGTTTGTTTTTTTGTTTTTTTTTTTCCTGAAAAAATGCAAGTACAAACCTCCACAGTTTGTTAAAGGGCATTGTGCAAACCAGGCCATAATGTTGACTTTCAGATGACTTATGGTAACTAAGGGCAAATACAGTTGTTTAACCTCAGACAGATGCTTATATCATCTGGATGTGAGGGTGTGCAGCAGTCCTGTGCCTGACCCACTGGGATAGATGTATTTTTTCAGCATTTGTAACTTTTAGTCAGACACTTGAGTTTGTAGTCTGGAAATTGCTGCAGGGAAATAATTTTTGGTTGCAAAAGCAAATAATTTCCTCCTCCAAATGTGACCGTGTGTGACAAATCTGACCCACCGAGCTCCAGACCTCGCGGTCTCCGTGGCACAGCCGTCAGACTGCCCCGGCCACCGTTCAGATCCTGCCGGTGTTTCGGGTGCCCTCCCCCTCCTGCTGCTCTCCGCTGACCCCTTATTTCCCCAGGTTCCCACAGCAGCCAGCCCCCCGTCAGGTCCCTTCCTCATTCCACTTTAAAACTCAGCTGCAACCTGATTTATCATCTCCTGGAAGCAGAGGATAATTAAGAATACAAGCTGAGTGTCAGAACATGGGGGGGGGAACTGCCATATCAGTTTCTTCTGGATTTTCTGCTCCTGCACAGCCACAAATGGAAACATCTGGTTCTATTTTCCACCTCATCTACATTCCCTTTCACTCATTATTTTCTGTACTGCAGATTAATTCTCCCCTCCATCCCACTTCCTTTCAGTCTTATTCTCGGTGTTTCTGTGTGGCTCTTCCCCCTTCCTACACGTGCTCTCCCCCCTCCCCAGTTAAAACCCCGGCTCTGGTTCACCCGTCCCCAGAGGCAGTGCTGCGGTCCGACCCTCGCCAACTCCAGCATCCGCAGAGGCAGGTGTCGGGGAGGGGCATCCTCTCCCTGCCCTCGTGCAAAGCAGCTCGTGGGCAATGTGCCTGCCGCGGGCCGCCGGGGATCCCTGGCTGGGCACGGATTTCCCCGGGAAGCTGTCGCTGGGAGGAGCGGCCGTGGCCGTAGCGGGAGGGGGGCGTGTCCAGGGCCGCTGCAATATAA